CCTCCCCAGAATCTTTTAAAATAGCTGGTTTTTTTTGTATTTGCAAAGTGCTTTATAAGTTTTACTTGTTCTGAAAAGTAGCGAGAGGCAGGAACTAATAGTTGACAATTTTCTCATTTTATTTAAAAGGAAATTGAGCCATAGGGGAGTTCCATATTTTCCCTTGATTGGAACAGCAGTCTCATGCACACTGGCAGGTAGAAAAAAGGACGACAAATTACGCAGCAATTGAAAAGTAAATCTCATTTTCCCAACAATTTTATTATGACACTAACTGAAATTTTAAAATGAAAGACAAATCTTCTGAAATTACACTGTCTAATAAATCATGTTTTATTCTTTAAAAGTTGATATCTTAAATACTTTCAGATGCTCTCAAAATATTTGTCACATTTAAACATCATATATATATATATATATATATATTTTTTTTTTTTTTTCCGGTACGCGGGCCTGTCACTGTTGTGGCCTCTCCCGTTGCGGAGCACAGGCTCCGGGCGCGCAGGCTCAGCAGCCATGGCTCACGGGCCCAGCCGCTCCGCGGCATGTGGGATCTTCCCGGACTGGGGCACGAACCCGTGTCCCCTGCATCAGCAGGCAGACTCTCAACCACTGCGCCACCAGGGAAGCCCTTATCTTTCTTTTTTTTAAGTAGTAGTTTGAGCTATCTATTTCAAGAGTTCTAAACTAACTTTTTGCTGCTTTGTATATTGAAACAAATATTCTATTACAAGTTATTTTTAAGAATACAAGTGATTTTTATCCTAAAACAAAATCAGGGTTTTTTTTTGCCCCAAAGTAATATAATGGTTTGAAAAATCATGATTAAATTTAGAAGATGCTGTATATGAAAGATGAGAATAACAAATTGAGGAGACACAGTCTGAGGCTCATTTTATTGGTTTATGGCTTCATTACCCAGAATATTGCCTTTGGCACCGTGTGAGCATCCCCTTGAATATAATGACTGATGTGAACTGTGGTGGACCTGAAAGCAGCAGAAAGGCCTGGAATTTCCATAGAGGCCATAACATTTTCCTTTACTGCTATTTCACATTCACCTTTCCCAGATCAACTCCCAATTTGGTGATGCTACATGAAACGAAACTGCCTTCCAAACAAAGAGAAATGATGCGGCCAGGGCCTCCTTTGGCCAACAGAATCACCTTACGTGGAAAATTCATCATTGGGTTGACGTGGTCATGAGGGAAGGAGGGATGTGCTATGGTTCCAAAATGCTGAAAGGTCTTTTGAGAAGTGGTCCACCCCTAAAGTAGCCAAGCTGCAGAGGCTGTGGGGCTTTGGGAAGCCAGAATGTCTGCTTTCCCATAATGCATCTCTTGACTGAGAGATGCAAATGTGTTGCTTTTCCATGAATTGTGTAACTGGGCCTTCTACATTTTTTTTCTTTATACATCTTAATTTCTATCTTTACTTGTGTACTTTGGTAACGTTATTTGAGGGTTAAAACAAATGCAAATCAGAATTGCTGGCCTTTAAGGCAACGTAGGGAAGTAGATAAATCAGTCTTTCAGGTTTCTCAACTATTAGGAACCCTCCGCCTTTTTCGCCTTTCGTTTCCTAGACCCCAGGCAACCCAGCTGGGCCACTGAGGAAGGGAAGAGGGGGAGGAGAGTCCATTTAAATTTCCTCTTGCAAATCAATCAATGTGATAAACCATATTAATAAAGTGAAGGAGAAAAACCATATGATCGTCTCAGTAGATGCAGAAAAAGCCTTCGACAAAATTCAACACCCATTTATGATAAAAACCCTCCAGAATATAGGCATAGAGGGAACTTACCTCAACATAATAAAGGCCATATATAACAATCCCACAGCCAACATCGTTCTCAGTGGTGAAACACTGAAACCATTTCCTCTAAGATCAGGAACAAGACAAGGTTGTCCACTCTCACCACTATTAGTGAACATAGTTTTCAAAGTTTTAGCCACAGCAATCAGAGAAGAAAAAGAAATAAAAGTAATCCAAATCGGAAAAGAAGAAGTAAAGCTGTCACAGTTTGCAGATGACACGATACTATACATAGAGAATCCTAAAGATGCTACCAGAAAACTACTAGAGCTAATCAATGAATTTGGTAAAGTAGCAGGATACAAAATTAATGCACAGAAATCTCTTGCATTCCTATACACTAATGATGAAAAATCTGGAAGAAATTAAGGAGGCACTCCCATTTACTATTGCAACAAAAAGAATAAAATACCTAGGAATAAACCTATCTAAGGAAACAAAAGACCTGTATGCAGAAAACTATAAGACACGGATGAAAGAAATTAAAGGTGATACAAACAGATGGAGAGATATGCCATGTTATTGGATTGAAAGAATCAACATTGTGAAAATGACTCTACTACCCAAAGCAATCTACAGATTCAATGCAATCCCTATCAAACTACCACTGGCATTTTTCACAGAACTAGAACAAAAAATGTCACAATTTGTATGGAAACACAAAAGACCCCGAACAGCCTAAGCAATCTTGAGAAAGAAAAACGGAGCTGGAGGAATCAGGCTCCCTGACTTCAGACTATACTACAAAGCTACAGTAATCAAGACAGTATGGTACTGGCACAAAAACAGAGATATAGATCAATGGAACAGGACAGAAAGCCCAGAGATAAACCCATGCACATATGGTCACCTTATCTTTGATAAAGGAGGCAGGAATGTACAGTGGAAAAGGACAGCCTCTTCAATAAGTGATGCTGGGAAAACTGGACAGCTACATGTAAAAGAATGAAATTAGAACACTCCCTAACACCATACAAAAAAATAAACTCAAAATGGATTAAAGACCTAAATGTAAGGCCAGACACCATCAAACTCTTAGATAAAAACATAGGCAGAACACTATGACATAAATCACAGCAAGATCCTTTTTGACCCACCTCCTAGAGAAATGGAAATAAAAACAAAAATAAACAAATGGGACCTAATGAAACTTAAGAACTTTTGCACAACAAAGGAAGCCATAAACAAGACTAAAAGACAACCCTCAGAATGGGAGAAAATATTTGCAAATGGAGCAGCTGGCAAAGGATTAATCTCCAAAGTTTACAAGCAGCTCATGCAGCTCAATTTCAAAATAACAAAGAACCCAATCCAAAAATGGGCAGAAGACCTAACTAGACATTTCTCCAAAGAAGATATACAGATTGCCAGCAAACACATGTAAAGATGCTCAACATCACTAATCATTAGAGAAACGCAAATCAAAACTACAATGAGGTATCACCTCACAGCAGTCAGAATGGCCATCATCAAAAAGTCTATGAACAATAAATGCTGGAGCGGGTGTGGAGAAAAGGGAACTCTTTTGCACTATTGGTGGGAATGTAAATGGATACAGCCACTATGGAGAACAGGATGGAGGTTCCTTAAAAAACTAAAACTAGAACTACCATATGACCCAGCAATCCCACTACTGGGCATATACCCTGAGAAAACCATATTTCAGAAAGAGTCATGTACCAAAATGTTCATTGCAGCTCTGTTTACAATAGCCAGGACATGGAAGCAACCTAAGTGTCCATCGACAGATGAATGGATAAAGAAGATGTGGCCCATATATACAATGGAATATTACTCAGCCATAAAAAGAAATGAAATTGAGTTATTTGTAGTGAGGTGGACGGACCTAGAGTCTGTCATGCAGAGTGAAGTAAGTCAGAAAGAGAAAAACAAATACCGTATACTAACACATATATATGGAATCTAAAAAAAGAAAAAAAAATGGTTCTGAAGAACCTAGGGGCAGGACAGGAATAATGACGCAGACATAGAGAATGGACTTGAGGACACAGGGAGTGGGAAGGGTAAGCTGGGACGAAGTGAGAGAGTGACATGGACGTATATGCACTACCAAATGTAAAATAGATAGCTAGTGGGAAGCAGCCACATAGCACAGGGAGATCAGCTCGGTGCTTTGTGACCACCTAGAGGGGTGGGCTAAAGAGGGTGGGAGGAGATATGGGGATATATGTATATGTATAGCTGATTCACTTTGTTATAAAGCAGAAACTAACACACCATTGTAAAGCAATTATACTCCAGTAAAGATGTTAAAAAAAATTCCTCTCACCTGGTGTCCTCTTTGCTGATAGAAATAAATTAGCATGTCATAATTATTAATATATTTGTGGCTGTTAGCTATATTATTCCTTTCTGGTAAAACTTGAAACCTAACCAAAGCCTCAGGGTCGTAAACACTGGAGGCCAAGGACTTACCAGTATAGGCTTGTGAACATTCTAGCAAGTGAGCATTTTGCCCCTGCTCAGTTGCTACCCCACACGGGGGCTGGCCCTGCCAGTGTCTTAATCACATGAGAAGCATGCAAAGTAAATCTTAGAAAAACTACTAATTATATAAGTATGGTCTCCTGGAATACAGGAAGCAAGCATGTTTCCCGCCTATGAACAAAAGGAGGCTTTCCAAATGAATCCATTTATACAATAGACTAGATCATATTATATTTTTTGAATTAAACTTGAGAGCTGTGTGAACATACTGTGAAAAATATGAGAGAAATAAAGAATTTACCTGTTCAGGTATCTACTTGTAGAAAATTTTATTTCTTTATGTTCATTCGAGGCTGGACCCTTAAGAAATAATTTCTACATTAAGATAATTTTTATGTTAATATTTAGCAAGGTTGTGATTTTTTTCATGAGCTTCCACATTTTATTTTGACAACGTGAGTTTATTATCAAGCATTTTTAATAACATTTTGTCTTCCTTTATATATTTCTTATAGTAAGTGGAAAAAATCTTACTGGTTCTTCTTCTTTAATTCTTTTGTAATTAAAAATTTCTTTGTGCTTTTTAGGAGAACCCTTTCAAAATGGTAGAAGTTAGACATTTTGTGCATGGTGTTAAGGTCCAAAGAAACGAGTTGGAGTGAGAAAAGAGGGCTTCATGTTCCCCTTAGAAATAATCAAGAGTTGAAGTTTCACTTTGCAGACACTACATTAATATGAATGTACTTCTTCCTAACGGATTTTCGTTTACGGACTCTGAACACAGGTGCTTGTTGACCTTTGGCTACAATAATAGTTCTCCACTTTTAAGAAATGGACTTGTATGATTACAAACCAAACACACTTCAAGTGGTTATAGAACAGGGCCATTGTAATGAATGAATCGGTTAAACTGTTCCCTAGCTTGGTCATTGTTATGTGCTTTTGAATCCTTATGTCCTGTGATTGAGCACTCTGCTTTTGCAGTCTGTACAGTTCTCAGTGCTTGACAAATGTTGAATATTCTGTAGCTACATTGGGTTCTTAGAGTATGCATTATTATCGAATTTAAGACCTATGAGAGATTTTGTGCAGTGTTTAATGAATACTAAGGTTTTCTCTGCTTTGGAACTTACGAAAAATCCATTTTTCTTCATGTACTCTAAATATCCCATGCTTTTTAAAACAGGCTGTTCTTGGCTATATTTGTTTTTATGACTTGTCCTCTATTATCGAGAATGTTACAAAATGAGGCCTTTGCTGGTATGTTAACTTGATTATAATTTGCATATATCACAATAATAGATGTGATTCTTCCATCATCAATACTAAATGAGAGCACTCTTTTAAGCCTTGGATTTTTTTTTTTTTTTTTTTTTTTGGTCAGCATCTTGCACTCCTAGCTATGGGCTAAGCAAGGGTGTTGAGATTAGTATGCAGCACTGGGTCCCCAGTAAGCTATTGACTCAATACTGTGCTCATCTTTCGTGATTATAACAACCACATACTTAGCAAGAGTTCCCAGCCTATAAGTAGATTTATTCTATCTTAAGACAGGCCTTGGCTAATATGAGAGAGGTTTCTGGCATCTGGGAGATGGGGGTTATAGAAACTTGATTAAAAGAAAAAGGAGATGATGTGGTCTGTCCTGTTCTAGGATGAACAAGGTGTCTAGAAAATTTTCCTTTAAGCCTGTGTTAACTCATCGTGTTATTTTTTTAAACTCTGGTCCCTCTTCTGGAACCACATCTTAAAAGATAAGCATATTTAGTAATAAAATTCCCAGCCTAGAGGGAAGTACCAATAATTGCTGTTTTCAGAAGAGAAGCATAGTGTTTTAGAGTTCGCTAGATCCATCCCTCCCTGCTTTTTTTTTTAAACAGATGGAGAAACTGAGTGCCAAAAGGTTGCAACATCCTTGAAGTTATATAAAGAACTAAAATAGCATATGGCTTATCTAGGAGGTAAAGATGGGAACGGCTTCTGCTTGATTGGCGCCCTCTTGAAGAGAAATACTTTTGCTCAGCTTGGTGAGTATTGACCTTCTGATTACATCACTTACGAATTTTTAAAAAAAATGTTAAACCTATATTGCAAAAATACATATGTTGCTTTTAAAATGGAAGCTTTCAGCAGCATTTAGATCAATCCATGTCTTACGGTTTAGGCCAAATTAACCAGCCAATTTCAGAGCTGTTTTTTGGAAAGCTTAGGTATACATTAACTCGAAATTTCTGTCAAATCACAGCTTGTAGAAGTTATTTTGAAACGTCCTTTCACTTACTGGTTAAATGAAGGTTGCTTCTCTGAGGGAGAGGTCGTATGCTCCTAATTGGGGCCATCCATCCTTCCCTGGTGCTCCCTATGCTGTGCCTGCCTGTCACCTGCCTCTCAAGCATCATGCTCCCTGTCTACTGATGGCATCCTTTCTGGGGCCCCTCTGTTCCCAAGTACCTAGGCTCCCTCCTCAAGGGCACAGGGCCTGGGGGTTCAGGGCTATGTAGAGGACCTCATCAGGCAGCTCTATCCTCTCATCCACTACTGGAGAGTTACAGCAAGCAGGTCACCTGATGGGAAAGCTTCCCTGGGGTTCCGCTCTGCAGTTAGGGTAGAGAATTCTTGCTGTAATGAGTGATGGACTCGTTTCTTTGGGAAGAAGCTCAGAAAGTGACATGGATGATACACACCTCTACTTGGGCTCTGTGCTTGAGGTCAAAGAAGAACATGAGAGGCTTTCTCATACTGTCTCATGGGTCTTCATTTGTTAGAACTGCTGTTGTGTGCCAGGCTCTGAAATAGTATGACCACATTTAATCTTTACTGTGAGGAAGAGATTATTGGCCTTATTTTAGATATGAGGCCATAGATACTTAAAGAGAGGCATTCAAATCATTTGCCCCAAATCACATACCTAGTAAACAATAAAAGGTATGCATTATCTTCACTTCTCTGATTTCACCAAACCATACCAAGAAAAAAATAACAAAATGGATGTTCGGTTTGCTATTTCTTCCCTTCCTTGTATATCACTGTGAATAACAAAATAGTGACTTTTCAGTGCATATATTTGTAGTTTGGCGGAATTTTTGTCTAAGAATGAGATTGTCTGTTTATTCCAAAAAACACTTTTTGAGGTCCCACTATATGCCAGACTCTGTAGTAGGTGCTCTGGATACAGCAGTGAACATGTATAAAAGTAAGTGTTATTTTTGTCAAGCCCTGAGATACAATGAGAAGTTTTGTGCGTATTTCATCTTGTCCTTTCTTCTATCAAGGCTTTGAGACACAGAGCCCAAGATTAGTCTTTGTCATTTTTCCACTGACTCACAGAATTACTGAAGTAACAGGGTACTTCTGAGGTTACTTTGCCAGCTCCTGAGGGTCTGAGGGACATGTGAACTAAGCCATTCTATTAACTTCCAAGGACGGAGGTTCCATTAGGCCTTTGTGTTACTTGCCGCTTTGCACTTTTACAGCTTATTGTGATGATGATTCATTATTTGTGCCCAAGCACAGTTGGCAGGTATGAATCTGAATTTTAAGCTGAGTACAGTAGACGTTTAAAAAAAAATCTTAAATTCTATACCTTTAACCAAAATAAGCACCTTTAGAGTTTTGAAATGATGAGCAGAGAGCCCAGGTGGGTGGTCAGACACCTGTTTGGTGCAACTGTGGCCTGAATCCTATCCATTCTGGTGACAGTCTCTGACAGTTACTCCTGCTTTTCTGTCCGAAACTATGTGTTCCGTTTACCTCACTTCACAATGTAGTTTAGAAGACTCTGGAAACATCTCTTTTAGGAGTTTTCTCAGCCACCTCGTAGGTGACTTGACCTTGTTTTTTCTTCCAGAAGGCTCTATATTTCATGTAGAATTGCATACCGATTTCAGTCATTATCATTATGGTTTAAAGAGCCTGACCTCCTGATACAATAGAATTCTCAGTTCACGGGCTACAGACTTGAGTCTGTTTTATTCAACTCTCTCATGTGGTAACTTACTACGTGCAAAGCTTCAGTGATGGCCACTGTCACCTCAAGTCTCAGATTCCACGATTTTGTTTATCCCTTGAAAGTAGAGGGGAAAATCAGAGACCCTTTAAATGCTCCCATCATGAGAGCACAAGTTGTGGGGGAAACATCTCCCAAAAGAGTAACTTGTCAAACTTTCATAGAAGTTTCCCATATAAAATGTTAACATTGATCAGACTCTGAGATAAAGCTAGAAGCTTTATCTGTGCATGTTTCATCATGCTCTTTCTTCACTAGCAAGCTGTTGAAACAGATTCCTACATTCATTCATTCTCTGCTTGCAGAACTATCCAGTTTACTCAGCAGAGGACTCCCGCTCTCTGGAGTATGTCATGCTGGTGATTGGAGCCTGCTTCAGGGCCTTTGTGGCTGCGGTGCTACCTCACCAGCAGCATCTGGGTCATGATGCTTGGCTTGAGTCACCTTACAGTGGCTCTTTCATCCTGGTCCAAGAAAGGACTCGTGGCTAGAATCATTATTCCTTTCAATGTCTGTCTTTTTGTCTAGCTCCTTAGTATACTAAATGTGACATTCTTCTCCATTTACCTGTCTAAGATTGTGCTTCAGATGGGGGACAAAAGCACCCTCTGGGTGGCAGACTTAAACATGCAGTTTCACTACATCACTGAAAGATCACATATGATAATTCCCCAATTTTCCAAGGCGAAACTTTTCCATTGGAATCACCATGACTGTGGTGCTGATGGTGGTGGTGGGTTGTATTTTGGGAAAAAATTTTAAGGCAATGTATTTTTTTTGAAAAATATTATTTATTTATTTGGTTGCATCGGGTCTTAGTTGTAGCACGCGGGATCTGTGTTGCAGCATGTGGGATCTTTAGTCGTGGCATGTGAACTCTTAGTTGTGGCATGTGGGATCTAGTTCCCCGACCAGGGATTGAACCCGGGCCCCCGGCATTGGGAGCATGGAGTCTTAGCCACTGGACCACCAGGGAAGTCCCAAGGCAATATATTGATATTTACACTCCTTGCATTGCCCCTTAGTGGTTTACTACGCATTTCCATTTTAGTTATCTGGGCAATTGTTGAATGTCTATATTCCCCACTGAAGTTCAATTCCACGATGACAGGAACTGTTGTCACACTGCCTCATATATATATAGTAGCTGTCCAGTCAAAACTTGTTTTTACGTGTAGGGTAAAGAACACTGTGCTGGGCCCTTGGAATGTGGGCTCCAGGCCCAGTTTTGCCTCAACAAGGTAGGCGACCTTGGGCCAGCTAGTACCCATAACTGGACCACAGTTTCTTCATCTGTGAAATAAGGTCATAGACAGGGGGATTCATGAGGTTGCTTTCAGCTTTATGAATCTCAGTTTGTGAGTCTGACTAAATGGAGGAAGAATTGCAGCCAGTCAATTGGACGCCACGACTTTGTTTCCAAACGCAGGATGACTATTGAAGTGCCCTGCCTTGGGCTGCGAAGAGCTGGCCCAGGCCTTCCCCAGGAGCCCAGGCCAGAACCCGAGTCACCTCCTTTGGGACATCTGGGGGCAGTGTTTTCCACACTTTTTCTATAGCAGCTCAATTCTCTTCAAAATAATAAACGAATTAAAAAGACTGCTGGTTATGTGTGGGCAGAAGCCATGTCAGCCCTTAACCTGTGCATGGGTATGTATTTGCTGCTGGTAAGATGGAGGAATCCCAGGAGGTGGTTCAGAGGGCAGTTGCTCTGGTGGTGGGGAGCGGGGGTGGTGGAGACACTGTAACATTTCAAATCCTCCGCCCTGGCCAGGTAATAGGGATTCAGATGACTGTAGTAACTACAGAGGTGTGTGACAGGTCAGTCTCAGAAGATAGGAGCCTGAAATTCACCCTATCAACACTCTCCTCTGATCCCCCTGTAAACTCCCCCTTCCCCCCTCCCCCTACCACTATCTGATTTACTGCCAAGAAGATTGGAAACCTCTCTGTGACAATCTGGAAAATCCTGGATCAAATGGTCTCTTCTTTAATCCAAGGGGAATCAAACTTGAGAATTCAACAAGAACTTACAACAGCGATTCTCAACTACAACCTACCAAAACTTATCTGAGATGAAATCAATAACCTGAGTAGTTCTATAATCATTAATAAAACTGAATTCATAGTTTAAAATCTTCTGAATAAGAAATCTCCAGGCCCAGGTGGTTCTGCTGGTAAATTCTAACAAACATTTGAGGAAGACATAACACCAATTTTAGACAGTATCTTTCAGGAGAGGGAAAAGTTCCCAATTTATTTTATAAGGCCAGCATCACTCTCAGAGATGGTAAAAAGAAAAAACAACAAAGACAAAACCACAGACCAATATACCTCAAGAACGTAGGTTTTAAAAATCATAAAAAATATTAGCAATTTTAATTATCAAATTTATATGCATAGAGTTGTTCATAATATTCCCTTATTATCCTTTTAATGTCAGTGGGAACTGTAAGTTATGTTCCCTCTTTCACTCCTGATATTAGTAAGCTGTGTTTTTTCTCTCCTTTTTTTTTTCTTTGTCAGTCTTGCTACAGGCTTACCAATTGTATTGATATTTTCAAATAACCAGTGTTTGTTTACATTGATTTTCTTTCTTTTCTTTTCTTTCTTGTTTTGCTTTCAATTTCATTTATTTCAGCTCTTATCTTTGTTATTTCCTTCCTTGCTTTGGGTATATTTTGCTCTTCATTTTCTAGTTTCTGCATGTGGAAGCTTAGATTATTGGTTAGAGACCTCTCTCCTTTTTCTATTATAAATATTTGTTATAAATTTCCCTATAAGCACTGTATTAGCTGCATCACACACATTTTGATATGTTGTATTTTCATTGTGTTCAATTCAACAATTTTTTTCTCTTGAGACTTTCCCCTTTGACCCATACATTATTTAGAAGTACAATGTGTTATATAATTTCCAAGTGTTTGGAAATTTTTATCTTCTCTCTTTGCTGTTGATTTCTAGTTTAATTTCATTACGATCAGATGACACATTTTGCATTATTTCAATTCTTTGAAATTT